ATATGCCATTGTTCTAGTCGTCATCATTCCAACATCAGAGGTGGTGACTGTCTGCTTTTAGGCTGTCCATTCACAGGCTGACGTCAAAGAGAACAATGAGCAGTGAGACGCCTGTTTGTCCCTGAGCTTTTTGCTGGAAGGCTAGGACTCCTCGCACGTTTTTGCCAATTTAGCCAATAAGTGTTAGTAAAACACACATAATGGAAACCTTGCTTACTTTTCTTCTTTAAAGAGGGAGCAACCATGTCCACGTGCACAAAGATTTTCTAGCAAGTTGGATAATCTTTGTAGAACAACATGTGCTTCTAATGGTTGGAAAGTTCAGGCATTTGTACCCTTGGAGGTTGTGAAGTGAATAAAAAAACCACCATCTGTTACTATAGGGCTGAGCAAACCAGCAGTCTAAACCTGACCATGGGCAAACTGAACGGCCTGACAATTCCCTGCTGTCATTTCCATTGATCTGCTGTGGCCAAATCTGACTATACGGTATTCTCAGTATCTCAAATGCCTGCATCCTATGGGTACAATAGAAGATAGCATACAAGAGCCACCTATACATGTTTACCTTCTGTCCTGGTATTTATAGCCAAGTGATTGTGTTGGTACCCCTGTAGTACCTGACACGGATTTTAGTTTGATCACATTTAGAGAAATGTTATGTACCAACCTGCTCTGTCACTATGGGTTTTCCACATTGCTTACATCTTTTTAAATGTATACACACAGGTCTTTGTATTACAGAAGAAGCATGACCAAACCCCCCAGAGAATGTTGGTTCCATATAAATAGATAAGAACTAAGGCACAGTGCTCCTCTTAACTAAATAATTGTAAAGAAAATGATGCCCAAGTGTATGCGTGAATAACTATAAAAGAGATCCTAAATCTTAAAATATCTCTAAATATGTACAATAATATAATAACATATAAATATAATATAAATTAGGGATGTTCAGATACCAAGTACAGTACTCGATACAAGTACAGATACGTTTCCAGCTCCAAGACTAGACTAGAGAAAAATTCAAAGGTTAGGAGGCAGCTGTCATTTGTAAGGAGAACACGGAGCTCCTGGGATTTGTGCATTCCTGTTTTAATGTATGATTTCGTTTTTATAAATAAAGAGATGCACTGATACCATATTTGCAAGTACGAGTACTGATACATTTTTGATTAGTGTCATGTGACAGTTTTTCTAAAACTACAGACTAATGATTTCAGGACAGTGGGTGGAGCACCAGAGCCAGGTCCCAGCTGCAACCCTGGTAGTTCTCATGAAAATGCCAACTATCGGCACTGGTATCTGAAAAGTATCGGTGCATCCCTAATATAAATAAATAAACAAACACAATCCATTAGTGTTCACATCAGTCAAAAAAGCATAATTTAGTATGAAAAGTGTAAATGGTGCATTTATTTCTGTGGTAGCTAATTGCAACCAATGTCTACGGCAACAGCCACAGTCTCCAGTGATAATTCACTTTATCCCAGCAACAGTTAAAGTGCATACAGTGCTTATGACTTAAGTGATGATAATATATTTCTGTGATAAAACCAATCAGTGTCCAGTGGAGATTCTGTTTGGTCAGACTCAACAGATGGGTTGACTATGAGCCTTTTCCCCCTGGGGATATATTCCTCCGCCAAAAACTGCTTACTTTTGGACCCTCAATGACTCTTCAGTGGTGAGCTAATGTGCCCAAAACCTCCTGAAGAAGTCCGGAAGTGATGAAACTCTCAAGGACAAGTCCGTAACATCAAACAAGTGTAGGCGTGCTCCTCGCTCTTATTACAACCAGGAGAGAAGAGGGCAACCACTTGGTACAGTGCCTTTTCAAAGATGGCGAACTGCCCTGGGGGGTGGGTACACCGTCTGGCTGTTCAATTACAAAGTGAACATGTAGCCCAGCTATGAATATTTTATATATTTGCTTATTTTTAACAATCAGTAAATACGTTTTAAGACCAGCCCTCACTGACCTTGATACCAGCAGTAACTGTGGCGCAAGTAACCCTCAAGGTTTACAACAGAAGCACTAAAATGGCAGCTCATCTGCTTTTGCATCAACTGGCAGCAGTGACATGGCAACCTGTTAGTGTTTTATTGTAACGAAACAGCAGATTCTGTAAGCTGAAACTTACTTCAACCCTCTTCAAAGTCTCTGATGTACTCCTTGAGGATTGATTATTCCATAGTGACTGCAGCTAAACAGTTCATTGCAGGCTTGTGTTACAGCTCATTTACTGAGTGTTAAGAATATGTAAAGACTTTAAAGTTCATAACCTGGCCACAGGTTCACTTAAAAAAAACCACACACTTAGCTATAGCGCCCAAGTCCCCTTTTTTGTAAGTTGTGTAGAAGTGTTACCTTCTGGGAAGTCTTTGCCCCACCATGACACCAGCTCTGGTTTTTGTATGAATAATGCCCACCAGTATTTCATCAGTGGATTAGGGATCAGGTACATTCGTAGCCTGTAAGCAAGCTGACTTCATGGAGGCAGCCCTGTTCCATACTGTCTTCATGCACGCATGACATGCTACATATTATTTTTATTGTAAATGGTTTTGTGTAAAAGTACACATATCCTCGAACACTCATATTACCAGGGCTGTTGGCACTTAGAGTGTGTTGTTACCCCTGGAACACTCAGTACTTAGAGTCCTCTAGTGACATTTAATAAAGACTAGACAGAAGCAGGCTTGTTTGCCAAGACAGTGAGAAAAGTCATGATGACATGCACGTTGCGAAAACCTGTAGCAGGCACATGTCGTTCAGGTGAAAAAAAAATAAACCGATTTTGTTGTGTTGGAGAACATGTTGTGTGCTTTATTCCGTCTCTCATGATTTCTTTGAAACCTTTATTCCTGCAGGGAGAAAATGGCACAAGCATATGACTTTGCTCTAGATAAAATTGGCATGGAAATAATGTCATATCAGGTATAATCTCTTTCCATGTTTAAAAAAACTATCTGTCATGTATCATGATTACCCAAAGTATGGTCATGTTAACATTGGCTTTTCTTCATTTTCAGATCTGGGTTGATTACATCAACTTTTTAAAGGGCGTGTAAGTTTTTATGCTATTATTATTTTTAAGCTTAATACACTCTTGAATTAATATTCCTAAAATAGGTTTTACACTTTGCTTTTGGAAGTCTCTACACTTCATTCATTACTACTGTACTCAACTGTTGATGTTGGTAGCAGTAATAGCCTGTAAAAGTAATAGCCTGTAAAAAATTGCCTATCCTAATGACATCTGTACTGGGTTAAAGAAAACCTCTGCCTTGAAATGATGGGTTCAGTCTCCTTTTTGTGCTGGCCAGGAGTTCAGGAAGGGATTTTTTCCCCCCAGCCCAGCATGACATGCAGTCAGTCCACTTAAGAAGTAGGGCTGCAGAGGTGTTGTTACTGCCTATATTATGGCTAGAGGGCTCCTATAGCTAGGCACTAAGCATGCCACTGTCACACTGGGTGGCAGGAAATATTCTTGAGTTTTAAGCAGAACAAAACAATCCAATGGCGGGATCTAGGTCTGACTAACGCCAGGTATGGGTGGTATTGCCTTTAAAACAGCAGCAGCTATGCCAGCATTCTCATAGCAGAGAAATAATGTACACTATATGATCAAAGGTATGTGGACACCCTCCAAATGATTTTGTTCTGGTGTTTCCATTGATAGTCACCAGGGGAATGGAGGGAGGACTACATATCAATGCCCATGGTTTTGTATTGAAATGGCAAAAATGTGATTTAATTTATATTTATATATATATATATGCACATACATACACACAGGCAGTCATGGCCAAAAAATTTGTCACCCCTGCACTTCTGTCGGATAATGCACCACTTTTGGGGTTGCTTTTCTGCTTCAGGCACTGGATGTCTTGACTGTGTGCATGGCATTATGAAATCTGAAGACTACCAAAGAATTCTGGGGTGCAATGTGTAGGGCCCAGTGTCAGAAAGTTGGGTCTCTGTCAGAGGTTGTGGGTTTACAGCAGGACAATGACCCAAAGCACACGTCAAAAAGCACCCAGAAATGGTTTCAGACAAAGCGCTGGAGAGCACTGGACTGGCCAGCAATGAGTCCAGATCGGAATCCCATAGAGCTCCTGTGGAGAGATCTCAAAATAGCAGTTGGGAAAAGGAACCCTTCCAATCTGAGAGACCCGGAACAGTTGGCGAAAGAAGAGTTCTCCAAAATTCCTGTAGAGTGTAATAAACTCATTGATGGTTACAGGAAGCCATTGATTTCAGTTCTTTTTTTCCAAGGGCTGTGCTCCCAAATATTAATTGATGGTGCCAATAATTTTGTCCAGTCCATTTTCTGAGTTTTGCGTGGAATGTGTCAGATTTGGCTTTTTTTCTCCACTTTTTTATGTCATACCAATACAAACAAAAGAAATAAACATGAGAATGCCGAAACATTTGTAATTGCAACACTTTTCTGTGCATTATCTGACAGGAATGCAGGGGTGCCAATATTTTTGACTGTATATAATCATCATCATAGTATACATTTCACCAATAATCTAATGTTAGAGTTTAGGTGCAGAACATATTTGTGCTGAAATTTCCGACATTGTTTTTCCCTTGCCAACAACAACACAGCCAGTTTTCAATAGAAAAAGTAATGTACCATTAAATAGGTGATTTAATTTCAGTGTTACCTATGTTTGCTCTAAACCTTTGATGGAAGCCTGCTTGTTCTTTGCACACCTCCCACATACATAGAGCCATTATGTGCTTTGTCAGATCAGTCAGAAGTTGAATTATATTTCTCAATACATAGTTAGCTGTTTGGTTTCTTGCCAATCAGGGAAGCTGTGGGATCCTATGCAGAAAACCAAAGAATCACCGCTGTACGCAGGGTCTACCAGCGAGGTTGTGTCAATCCAATGATTAACATCGAGCAGCTCTGGAGAGATTACAACAAGTACGAAGAGGTAAGCTGGGCAGCTACATCTCGGAATACTATTTGTCCTTTAAAGATGTTGTACATCTGACATAACTATAACACAATGCATGTTGTTTCCAGGGTATTAATGTCCACCTCGCAAAGAAGATGATAGAAGACCGGAGTAGAGATTATATGAATGCCAGAAGAGTGGCTAAGGTGAGTTCAGTTCTGTCATTCATGACTGATATATGTATGTACATTTTAAGGACTGTTGATTTGTATCAAAACTGCTTCTTCAGTTTGACTGGCAGACTAGCCCTTCCATGAGTAAAAGGGGGCAGAGCTACAGGGGTGCCTCTCCAGGGTACACCAAGAAGCATTTGACAAAGAGGGTTTTGCACTGTCGGATGTTATATCTGAGACCGACTGCTTAAAAAGCTTTCTAGATTTGCACTTTGTATTGCAAGTGAGACTATTTATGGGTTTGTGTTAGTTATACTGACTTCATCACTATTTTAAAAACCATGGCCTGTCTGCATAGAAGAAGGTTAATACTTAGCCCTCTCACTGGCCAATCTACTGTATCTCACAAATCTTCAGCATCTGATATTTCTAGATATGTTGAATACCTGATCCCTCCATGCATGTTGTAGTCCTTCCAGTCCTTGCGGAGCCAGGACACAGTGATGAAGGAAGCAAAGAGTGCAGAGGAGGCCAGGCACCCAACACCACACCTGAAAGTGTGCATTTATACTTTATATGCTTTTTGACTGTGTTACTTAGTCAGTCACTACTTTGCTCTTGAAGGATCAGATGATGTCTGATTGACCTCTATATCCAGTTTCCAAATATTTCTGTGTATAGTGCTTGTCATTTAGGATCTAGGAGACTGATTTGTATAGTTTTTATTTCCTGTTCTTCTAAAAAGGAATATGAGACAGTTATGAAAGGCTTGGACCGCAATGCTCCCTCCGTGCCCCCACAGAATACCCCCCAGGAGGCTCAGCAGGTAGAAATGTGGAAAAAATACATACAGTGGGAGAAGAGTAATCCCCTCCGGACAGAAGATCAGACTCTCATAACCAAAAGAGGTATGCTACAGTAAGAAAGTTGTTTCTTAGAGTGGTTTGAAGCAGCTTTGTGATCTGCATCCATTCAGAAATGACCGCAGACTACTGGTATTATATAAGCTGCTCTGCAAACCTCTCATGGGAACACTAAAGGATTACAACACCTTTTACAGTATATAGTTGTAATAAAGTACATGACATAGGATGCTACATGTCAACTAATCAAAAGGCCCAGCATTTCGTCTTTAGGTCAACTTCTTCAGGGGATCAACCTCTTCAGGGGATCAACCTTGTCAGGGAATCTCTGCTAAACTTGTGTTTCTTACCATTAAAAGTCAGACTTTTCCATTTAAAGCTGGCTTGTGATACTGTGACAGATCACATCTTCAGGACAGTGGAGTTTAATGTGGAGGCATAAGATTGAACTGGATGGTACAGCACAAGGTCCTCCTGTTTAAGGACTGTATCTTTAAAGGCTAAGTTTATCTTTAATACCATGTTTCATGTGGCAGGCTTATTCAGGGTCTAGCATGAAGCATGGTCACATCGCCAGCCCCTCCACGCACTTGAATCGCGCAGTTCTTTCCCCCACAGACTCCTGACAATTTTCATCCAGTAAAATAATCAATTTTTGAGTCTGCCTCGACAATAGCTCCCTAATTGGACCTCTCCCCCTCTAAATGTAAACATAGAAAAAAACGAGAAATAGGGGTTTCTGATAGGTATAAAACCAATGTAAAAAATATATCCAAATTTTATTATACAGTAATCACATTATATAAAAGAATCGATTGCAATACATATGAATATAAAAAAAAAACCAATTGGCTAAAACACACAAAGTGCCCGGGATATGCCCAACGTCAAATAGTTATATCTTAATTAAATATCCATAGTTGCAAACATAATTGTCATTAATTATTCATTGTTCATTTACTGGAACAGACATATCCGGGTTCCGACGCGTTTCGCACCAAGCTTCTTCAGGGGACCAGTGGGGCTAATCTAACAATAATAATAGTAATAACAATTATACATCAATTGATTGCATCATTCAATTCATTAATAAATTAATATAACATAAATTAGAATGTTTAAGCAATCGGCACCACAGCTATGAGGCCCCTCAAAAGGTGGGTACCCCGTACTTACCAAACAACTAATGTCTGGAGGAGGACAGATATTTCCAGATTAAGAGAAAGTGATAGCGGCCTGAATCAAACCAGCCCACTCAACACCGTCCGAGACCATGCCAGGGACATCGGGGCCACAGGAAGGGGGGGCATCCAGGACGATGCAAAGGACCCCTATCACCTAGTCTAGAACAAATTACAGGGGTAATAAAATCAGTATGGGATTCTTCCCCCCAGTATAAAGATATCTCACCTATATATACAAGGCATTGCTAAAATCTATATAAAGTAAGAGATCAAAATACAAAATCCATATCTACAGACTATTCTCACATTGGTATACCCCTAATCCTCAAAGCTAATAGGTATTCCCTTCAACTAAAATCCCCACTTCATACCAAATTCTCAACCCCTGTTGGCAACATTAACCTTATTGTGAACATAAACCTCCAAATAGGTCAATACTGTGATCATAGTGTTAAAATATATGTGATTAGCCGAAAGAGCTTGTCTGGATAGGAACAATGCCCTAGTGACAGACAGACCCATGTAAATCTCGGGGTATACCCCCAGCATTCAGTGAACACACCTGGAATGTGGATGTGTCGTTTTAGAAAAAAGATTTCAATATAAGTGAAAAATAATATATTATATATATATATA